TTTCTCCTCCTACCTTGCTTCACTCTTCTCCTACTCTATTAACAGCCGCTGCCACCATCTCGATTGCCTCCTGTAGAAATCAAATTACTTTCTTGAATTTTTGTTTTGGGGAAAACTAGATCTATGAAAATTTTCTGTTTTTTGGATACTTCTTACACCCCAAATTGGAGAAATTCTTTTACTAGTTATGGCCATTAGAGAATATATTCTTGCCGTCTTATGTCAGTTCGAAAAAAAAAAGAATGAATTAGATTGAGAAAGAAGAAGAAAAGAGAGGCAAATCCATGATATTTTGACGGGACGAGAGAGGATCGGGAAGAGTTTTTGATAATTAATAGAATTAGTTGTTGTTGTCGATGATGGTGGCGTAGAGAATATCGGGAAGAAATTGGATGTTGATGGTGGTGAGAGTGAGGAGAAAAAAAAAAAGAAAAGAAAAGAGAAGATTAAAGTTGGAGACGGAGGAGAAAGCCAGAAAGGGAAGAGAGCAAAGAAGGGGAAAAACCAATTAGCAAGTCGTATCCGCCAAATTAGTTGGGAATGGTTCTATGCCTTTCAAACCCAATTTAATGGGCCTAAGATATTCGCAATATTTGAATCAAGCAATGAAAATTGGGTTTCAAATCTAAAACTTTCATTCCAAGTATTTGAAACCCATGAATCAAGCGCCTCGTAAATTTAAATAAATAAATAAAATTTAATACTACAAAAATAAATAAAATTAAAAAAAAAATACCGGCGTCGGCACATGACTGGCGCCGGTTAATCTCGCCAGGCGCTGACGTTTCTCGCCTCACCCCTAGAGGGTGGCGAAGAAATGGGCGCCACCCCTGCCCCGGCTAGCGATGGAGGACCTCGCCGGGGCAAGTAGAGCCGGCGCGGAGGCCGTGGCAGTGCAATTTTTTTTTCAAAAAAAAAAACTCTAATTTGAACGTACCTTCAGTTGTAGTTCTTTCCATAACCGTTTCATTCGTTCCGCCATTGAATCTGAGTCTTTTGGATTTAGGAATGAGAGAATTTGAAATGAAAGATTGATTTAGGAATTAAAAGAATGAAATTGAAACTAATAATTTATAAAATCTAGTAGCGGCAAAATCGTCTTTTGGTGTTACATTAGGGCGGTCAAGGGAAAAATTTGGGGCATTTAGTAGCCTCCCAGATAATGTTAGTAGCTAGGGCAAATAATACTATCTCTATTAAAAAGAAAATAACCAATTGAAATCTATTATACTTACCTAAAGCAACAATCATTTTGGACACGTATCAGCACCATAAAGAAAATTTTCCCTCCAAAATCATTTAAAGTACAAAAACGAAGTTGCAAATGGTCAACACGTGCCTTCACCTATGATCAGCAAAATTTGTTACTGCCCATTTCCAGAAAATAAAAGTTTTTTCAGCAAGAAAATCGGAAAAATTAACTTCAATAAAATCCCTAATTCCCTGTAACTTTATTGCTGAAAATCGATACGGGCTAATTTTAAAAGTATCTCCCATCAATCACAATATTTCAATTTCAAATGTAAAGGATCAGATCGATTCCGTTATCCTCTCTATATGCGGTATTGTTCAGTCGGAATCCCATAAAAATAAAACAAATCCATCCGACCTTACCAAAGAAGATGATAATGAGGAAGATTACTCCTACCCCCATGATGTCGTTCTCTCTTTCAACTCCAAAGCTCCAAGGAAATAGCGGTGGAGGTTCAGCCTGCTCCGCCAGACCGGTGGTAAAGAGGGACTGTGCGACCCATATTTAGCAATGTAAATGCTTTTCTTATTGTTTCTCCACAATTAAACTTTATAATTTTGTTAAAATTGGATTGTGATTTACTAGATCTGGATGAGGACCAAACAAACCATCCATTGTAATGCCAAGATCCGCCATTGACATCGCACAAGCTTGGGTTTTAAATCCGTTTCAGATTCGCTCGGATCCCCCACTGCCTGTGAAACTGGGACGAAGGTAAACTCTTTTTTCTGTTTTCAATTCCCGTAGACTACCGTCATTAATTAAGATGAAATAAATATCCTCTCTATCACCGATTTGTAGAAGAATTTCTATTTTCTTCACTGATATGAAGTTCAGCCACAGTCGTCGTTCCGATTCCAACCTGTCGTGGAAGAATTTTTTTTCTTTGCCGATTTGAAGTTAATTTGTCTTCCGATGCCAAAAAACATGGTTGCTCTTCTTCTTGAATGCGTAAGTCCTTTTTGCATTTTTCCATTTTTTTTTAGTTTGGTTTTGTACCCTGAAGATTAATTTGTCTTTGTTTATACTTTCAGCAGTCATGAATGGTATTGCAAGAAGAGAATAGATTCCCCGATTTTAGCTTCGTAAACGCGTCCCTAATTTCAGATAACTACCACCCAATTTTATCTCCCAAATCAAACTTTGATCTTCTTTAATCACAGATAATCCCAAATATTGATAAAGATTGGTTTTTTTTTTGGATTATTTTTAGGTCTTTTTGTGGGGCGAGTAACCTCTTCAAGTGGGAGATTTGGCCGAGCAGCTATTGGAGAAAGACCTAGAGGATGAGCTATGTTTCTTTGGCATTATTTATAGGTATTTATTGGTTCTTTGCTTTATTTTTTACTTTCATCAATTTGCTTTTGAAATTTCTGTAAATCAGAGCTATTGAGGGAGGTGCGGAATAAAATTGTAGATTTAGAATCCAAATGGTCATTGAGAAAAAACGTGGTTTTGTGTGCTGTTGTATCAAAATTGGAGGGAAATCAAGAAGAAAATCGTCAGGAGTCTTCAAATTTTTGGGGGAATCGCATTCCCTATTTCAGTCAGACAGGTATAATTTCTTATAATTTCCATTACTTCCTTAGTTTGTTTGTGCCATTGCTTCATATGGATAATCTGAATTGGGTATGTTAGACTGGAGTGAAATATTGTCTGAATGGTGGTCTATAGTTGCTGCATAGCTTCCTTGGCGATGTTTAGGTTCTGCAGCTGCTGCTTCAATGTTAGTAAAACTCCTTTATTTTCAAATTTGAAATTTAGTGATCAAATACTGTATAATGAGTTTCATTCATTACATGGCTATCCTGAAAATTGTAGTCTTGAAGTTTGTTTTGCTGCTTTATGCTTCGGATTTTGTTGCATTATCTTGAAAATTGTTGTCTTAAAGAGATTTTAGCTACTTTTACTGTTTGATTTCTTTATCTGATGCAATCTTTGAAAACCTTCTATAATGTTCTTGGTCAGTTGCTTTTTTAAATTTATGTTAGTTGCCCTTCGTGTGTCATGAGTGCTTGTTACCAAGTGTACTTACCTTAGTAGATCTAAGTTTCTTTTAATTTACCTATAACAAAGGAAATAATGCTGATAAACCTAGTAATGAATGGAATACCTCATCAAGGCTCAATAGGATTTGTATTTATGTGTTTGTTCTTTGTATTTTTCTACATATGCTACCTTAATATATCCATTTTTTGTATCATCATTCCTAAATCAAGACTCAAAAATGGCTGATGCAAATGAAAAAGAAGAGCATGAGAGAATCTTTAAGAAGTTTGATGCCAATGGGGATGGGAAAATTCTCGACAGCAGAGCTTGAGGATGCATTGAGGACTCTGCGCACTGTTAAAGAAGAAGAAGTCAAGCGTATGATGACTGAAATTGACACAGATGGGGATGGTTTCATTTCCCATGATGAATTCACAGCATTTGCCGAGGCCAACAGGGGGCTTTTTCCCAAAAAACTTAATTAAAATAAACGTGGACAAATTTAAATTTTTCAGAATATTTGTGGACAGAAATATATCCATCGAATTTCCGAAATTCGAGTTCTGATTAAAATTAAGGATTCGGATTTCGGAAATCCAAGACTTCGTTTAATAATTAAATAAATTTTGTTGAATAATAGTTTTTAAAAATTCTTAAATGAACAGTGACGTTCGGATTTGCGAAATCCGAATTTAATTAAAAAATAATAAATTGAGGCGCGAAATATTTGAACTCAAATAAGGAGTCCAGGTCAAATAAACAGTAGTACTCAGATTTTCAAAATCCGAATTCTGATTAAAATTAAGGATTCGGATTTCAGAAATCCGAGACTGCATTTAATAATAAAACAATAATTAAATAAATTTTGTTGGATAATAGTTTTTAAAAATTCTTAAATGAACAGTGCCGTTCGGATTTGTGGAATCCAAATTTAATTAAAAAATAATAAATTGAGGCGCGAAATATTTAAACACAAATAAGGAGTCCAGGCCCGCCTGGACTCCTTAAATAAACAGTAGTACTCGGATTTGCAAAATCCGAGTTCTCAAAAAGGAAAAAGAAAAAATGAAAATCGAGGCGCGAAATTTTTGAATCCAAAAACCGGAAGTCCGTAATCCGGTTTTCTGTATTCGGATTTTGGAAATCCGACTGCTTTTAATTTTGGTTGGTGGAAGTAGGCATGTACCATAAATTGGAGGACTAAAAAATGAATAAAAAATCCGTAATTGATAAAACTCGGATTCAGGAAATCCGAGTCCACCTTAATTTCGGATTTCAAAAATCCGAATTACTTACGGGCTCGGATTTCGGAAATCTGAGTTTATCGTGCTATAAAAGAAAAAAAAATTCAGACAGTTCTCATTCGAGAACTGAGTTGGATTTTCTGTTTTTGCAGCTCAAACAAGGGCGAATTGGAGCTTTTGATGCATTATTGCTTCTAGATACGTGGGAATCGTTATTTAAAAGAGGTTAGATTGAAAACCCATGTTATTTAGTTTAGTTTTGTGTTATTTTGATTGTTAGAATGATGTATGATAGATTAGGGTTTATGTTGGTTGGTTGTTTGGATGTTTTAGGTGTTGATTTTGAAGTTAGAGATGAGAAATCATAGTTATTCATAAGAATATGGAAGTTGATTTATAAGTATTTTAGTATTTTATAGGTTTTTTGAATTATGAATGGAGTATGTATGGTGTATTTGTTGATTTTGTTATTAAGAAATGATTAGATATTGATGTTTTTTTTTAAACAGATATTAATGGCACGTAATGTATCATACATGCTTAATTTGTTTCATACAAGCAAGTATGTGATAGAGAATGGTAGCATCAACACTTTTTTGAATATGCCGGATCATGGTTTGTTTGTTGAGGAAAGGTTGTCATATGAGAGATTGATTAGTAAGATTTGTATGACACTTGGTTGGGATCCAGCACACGTGAAACTCCACCTTTCTTTGATTTTTGATAGTCCCGGTGGTAGGCGTATAGTGAAGATCAAGAATGATTCGCATGTAGAGTTCATGAACCGTGTAGATCCAATGTCATGTTTGGATTTATACATAGATTTGGAAGATATCACTCACGAAGAAAGAGAAGCGAGTTTGGAAAACAACGTGTCATTTGGTGGTTTTCCAAGGGGGTAACGTGCTAGTACTTCTCGAAACCGTGATGAAGATAGACACCTTTATTTGCACAAGATGACTACCGGGAAGATTCGGATTTCGACTACATAGCTCCAAGTGAAAGCGAAGAAGACTGTGATGTCTCCGGAGAGAGTGATTTTGAAGAAAGTGATGATGAAAGGTTGGAAAATGAGGAAAGGGATTGTAATCCATTGCCCCGACGCCATGTATATAGTAAGATGGGGAAATGGGATGCCTCATGTGTGGACAAGGATGAGTTTGCTCTTAAGATGTGGGATGAGACGCCTGAAGGAATGGACACTGGTGTTTGTTTCAAATCTCAATCAGAAGCAAAGCATGCTGTGAAATTATGGAACACCCATCATAAAAGGGAATATACGGTCGGCGCGAGTAGTCCAACGACGTGGGCTGTGCGGTGCAGAACATTAAATGTGGAAAGTGAGGATGGTGAACCACCATGTGAGTGGAAGATGCGTGTCTTTGAAAACTCACGGGCCTTCATGAAATTGTGAGATGGCATGATGCACATAATTGCATGACTCCCGTGAATGATAATGACAATCGGTGTGTGGACGCGTCTTTGATTGCTAGACTCATCAGGAGAAAGGTTGAGTGCAACGTAGATTATACAGCAGCCTCGGCACAGAAAGATGTGAAAACCTTTGAAAGTAGATGTGCCATACAAAAGGGCGTGGCACGGGAGAAGGAAAGCCATAGAAGCGGTCTATGGTGATTGGACCTCGAATTTCGAAGAACTTCCACGGGAAATATCAACTTTTATCTGTGTATTGAAATATTTTTAGTGTTTTTTTACATGTATTGAAATATTTTAACTATGACTTGTTTGTTGTGTAGGTATAGCGTTGCGCTTAAGTTTACTAATCCTGAGACTGTAGTAGAGTGAGAATGGAATGAGGGACAAGAAGGTTAGAACAGGAGAAATAAGACATTTAAATACGTCTTCTGGTCATTTGCACCAGTGGCTGCGACGTTTCTTGAACGTCCATCGGTCATTTGTATCGATGGAACCTTCCTGCGTGGTGGATACAAGGGTAAATTGCTTGTTGCGGTGGTCTATACCGCAAACAAGCACATTTTACTGGTTGCATTTGCGATTGTGGATGAGGAGATAGTAGAGGGTTGGACATTTTTTATGAGGAATTTGAGGTTGTGGGTTGTGCATGATAGAATCGTAAGTGTGATCTCCGGCCGGAATGCAGGGTTGTTGAGCGCAATGTCACAGATGGATGAATGGCGTGATTTAGGTGATGGTGGCCACTTTCTTTGCCTCCGTCACATTCGTAGCAATCTTGTGTCGCGATATAATAGTAAAAAGGTGAAGCGGTTATGTTGGAAGATAGGCACGACGCTTTCAAGAGTGAAATACAACCGATTGAGGTCAGAGCTTATTGAATTCAAACCTGCTGCATGGAAGTATCTTCGAGGGATTGGAAGGAGTAACTGGGCTCGATTGAAAACCGATTTTCGCTATTGGGGCATAGCGACAACCAACATTTCTGAGAGTTATAACAATGCGTTGAAAGGAATCTGGTTTTTACCAATTAGATCCTTGATCGATGCAACCTTTCGCAAAACTGTAAAATTCTACAAAGAAGAACAATTATCTGCCAGAAATTGCATGACACCGATCCCTCCTGAGTTATGGAAAAAATACGAGAAAATGAACGATAAAGCAGTCAGTTTTGAAGCCACCCCTTTTGATGGTGATGATGCTATGTAGCGGGTTGTTACTGCAACACGGCTAAGTGGCAGGGGTGGATTTTTGCATACAGTGAACTACGATGAACATAGGTGTTCGTGTAGGAAGTGGCAAGAGTACCGGATGCCTTGTACGCACGCACTCTAAGTTTGCCGGAGAAAAGGGGATCGGCCTATTGATCTATACCATAGTGTGTGGCGCCTTCCAGCATGGCGCAGACAATTTGATTACACAGGCTTTGTTCTGGTTCTCGATGAGGAACAATGGCCGACGGTCAATTGGAATATCATTCCGAATTATGAGCGTCTTGTGTTGAATGCGGGACCGGGACGAAGACAAAAAAGGAGACATAGAATGCAAATGGATTACAGGGGACGCCGAAGCCGGGGGGAATGTTGGAGATGTGGACAACAAGGTCATGATGCCAATTCTTATCCTAACTCGCACTCAGGAGTAGATAGAAGACCTGTGAATGACATCTGGAATTGAGAGTCATTTAGTGTTTTTGCATGTTATTTGGAATGACAACTGTTTAATTAGATGTTCTATAAATATTTGTATTGATAAATTTGGATTGTTTTGTATTACGTTGAATTGTTCGGATTGTAATGTTAACATTAAATTGTTGGTGCTGGTGCTGTGATTGTGATGAAATAGATACTAGTTGTTGATAACAGGTTTTGGGATTGTGCAAAAAACAAAAGTGCTCATTTTAAGGTTTTGTATAGGCGTTTTGTATTACGTTCGGATTTCTGAAATCCGAATGTAAGCCGATTTCCTGTAGCAAAGGTCTTGGATTTCCGAAATCCAGGTGTTTGCATTTTGTACTACGTTCGGCTTTCGTTAATCCGAATTGAGGAAAGCATCCGAGAGTGTGCAATTTGAGGAGAAACAGAAGAGATTCGGATTCCTGAAATCCGAATGTAGTATTTTCGGATTTCAAAAATCCGAGTTTTACGGGACTATATATAGCCGGTCAACTCTTCCCCCTCCATTTTTCCCCCAATTCCCGGTTTAAAAAAACCCTAAAACTAAACCCGGCGACTCCTCCCGGTGACTCCCTCATCCTCCCGGCGACTCCCTCCACTCCTCCCGGCTACCTTTCATTCCACCCGGCGACTCCCTCCACTCCTCCCGGCGACTCCCTTTAAATACTCCCGGCGACTCCCTCCACTCCTCCCAGCGACCCTCCACTCCTCTCGGCGACTCCCTTTAAATTCTCCCGGTAAGTTTTTTTCAACTGTCTAATTTTTTATTTTTCAAATGCTTTTTTTCAGAAATCCAAATGTAGTGTTTTTTTATTCGCCGAATGTGTATTGTTGCATATTTGGATTGGTGTTAGTTGTATTGCAATGTTTTGCAATATAGTTAGTTAGGAAATCCGAAAGTGTTAGCTACCGAATGTAGTTAAATGATACTAAGTAGTGTAGTTTTTTTGGAGCGGTGTGTATATATAGTTAGTTGTTTTCAGTAACCCGAATGTATTGTTTTTTTTTTCGCCGAATGTGTATTGTTGTGGTGTGTGAATTTTGAATTGGTTTGTGTTGGATTTGATTAGTGTAGCTATTTGAAATTCTGAATTGTGAATTGTGAATTTGGATTGTGAATTGTGAATTATGAATGTTTATGCAAATTTGGATTGGTATTAGTTGTATTGCAATGTTTTGCAATATAGTTAGTTGGGAAATCCGAAAGTGTTAGTTTTTTTTTCCTGAATGTAGTTAAATGGTGCTAAGTAGTGTAGTTTTTTTGCATATTTGGATTGGTGTTAGTTGTATTGCAATGTTTTGCAATATAGTTAGTTGTTTTGATATAGTGTTAGTTGTATTGGTGTTAGTTGTTTTGATATTGTGTATTAGTTTGGTTTGTGTTGAATTTGGCCAAATAATGAGTTAGGGCATTGATGTTTTCTTTGATTGCCTTGTGTAGGATTGAAATGACGGAGGAGACATCGGGCTCGCAATATGAATATCAACCTAAACATCTTCACCCGGGGCCGATACAAGATGAAATGTTATATTGTCAAACAAAGCATAGGTCCCAAGCTGTCTATGAGAACAAGATATCGGACATTAAAACATTCCGCCTCAAGGGCCGTAGATACGATGACGATTTTTTGGGGATATACAAAGATACGGCACCAGAGGTTAAGTAAGTCATTAAGAGAGCCGGTTTTGAGGGGATAATGAAAGTAGGCTACAAAAGAGTGGATCTCGGTCTCATTACCGTGTTGGTAGAACGATGGAGGCCAGAAACTCACACTTTCCGTTTTAATTTCGGAGAGGGGACTATGACACTACAGGATGTCGAGGTCCTCTTTGGTATTCGGGTGGATGGTGACCCAGTGAACGGGACGACAGTTAGTCGGAGTGCAGATAAATGGCAGGATCGATGTGAGACTTATTTGAGATTCCGGCCAACCCAAGTAAATGGTCAATGTATCAATGTTGGTATTTTCGAGGATGAGATGGGCCGTGCACTCCCTAAGAATTCCACAGAGCAGCGATTCGAGCAAAGGGCCCGGACACTTATACTGTATTTTATTAGCAGTTTCATGTTTCCTAACAAGACACAAAACACTGTCATTCTGCAGTTCTTGGCCCAGGTTGAGGATTTGGATCAGTGTAGTCGATACAGTTGGGGATCGGCGCTGCTGGCTGGTTTGTACTCTGGACTGTGTGAGGCATCACAGTATACCATGCACGACGCCACTGGCTGTCTATATTTGCTATGGGTACGTATTAGTTTTCAATTGGTGTTATAATTTTTTTTTGCTTTCGACGTTATAATTTGAAGTTTTAACATTATTATTGAAATTTACTAGGTATGGGCGTATGAGCAAATCGAGAGAATCACGCCACAAAGAAAAGGAGTAGATTATTTGATTGATGAGACCGCTCCATTAGCTCAGCGGAACGTATTTTCATTTCAAAATAACTCAATGTTTATTTCTGTTTGTTTCTTATTTATCTTTTTTACTAATTCAAATGTACCCCTTCGTGTTTGTTCATTAAGGTGGGAATGTAGGTACACCTACGGAGACGCCCCAAGAAGCAGCACCCCACCTTTTAGAGATTAATTAACAAGTCTGCGTGTTGAAGATGTAAGTACTTAATTTGGTATTTATATTTATTTTGAATTTCTTTTCGTTCCGGTTATACCATCTAAATAAATTTTTTTCGTGCAGTTTCGGTGGCAACCATATGCAAAGGTCCTTCATAGACTCTCTGATTTCTGTAAACAAGGCCAACCCTTCTTTAAATCAGGTGTTGGATGTTCTGTTGGGCTATTAGGGAACCCCACAAGTCAGGTAGAGTTGTGAGACAATTTGGATACATACAAGATGTTCCTAAGCGCCCTATGATTAAAGATAACGCAACATTTCTTCTCGATCACGCCCACAGTATGTATGGGTATCCTAGCAACAATTGGGTGGATCACCATTCCGCAGTACGTCGTCATTGGAATAGGAGAGAAGAGTACGTGCTACGAGATTTGGAGGAAGGAGACCCTGGCTCCGTATATGAGGGGTACTATGAATGGTTCATGGTGAACACTGTCAAACTGATATCCAATCACAAAAATTATGAACCTCAAGGATACATAACTTCTTCGAGCCGAGTGAAATTATATGTGAGTTCATTCTATATATATATATATATTTTTTTTTTATTTCTTATGTTTTCCTTTTATTTTTTTTATGTTTTTTTTTGAATTTTACTCTCTTAATTAACGTCCCAATTTTTTCAGGGTGAAGTATTGAACAATATTCGCGTGAGTTTCGAGAAGTTTAGAGAAAAACGAGAAGATGAGAATCTTCTAGACGAAGAACTCGACAAGCATTTGAACGATATCATCAATCAAACACATGCTACTTTAATCCTGGGTGCAAATGATGAGATGGACGTAGAAGATACCCAAATCCTGGTTGATGAAGAACCATCTTTGCCCTCACAACCTCCGCCGGGTAAAAAAGCGAAACCGTGATCGAGAGATAAGATTGGAGGAGGAAGAAAGAGAAAGGTCCCAATCCTCCCTCGGACATCGCAATAACAAACTGAGGGTCAACAAAATGAGGATCAAGCACATTTTTCTCGAGACTCGTGCATCCAGGTCGAGACTCAATTTGAAGACATTGGTGGACCCGAGACTCAGTTTGACCTTGGTGGACCCGAAACTCAGTTTGGTGGACAGTCGCAACCACAACCGGGAGTCCTATTTCTCACCATGGGGGAGTCCCAATCCCAACCCCAACCCGAGACTCAGTTTGATGGACACTCGCAACCACAATAGGGTTCAATACTCACATATCTTAAGAGGGGAGACAGGAACCGGCAGGGCCCAAATTAATACACTTCGGATGCGCATAATAAAGGAAAAGGGAAAAAATGAGACTTTGATGTATTTTGCACATTTAAAGTAGTTTTTTGTATTGATTTTGGTTTGAAACTTGATTTGTTTCGTTGTTAATCGAATGCCGTTTATTGTTTTGTTGCCATTAAATTTCTGTTTTCCAATGTTTCATTGTTGTCGGTGCTGTAAACAGATTTTGGACTGGTTAAAACGGGTCCATTTTTTTCAGTTCTGACATAGACTCAGATTTACAAAATCCGAACCCAGACTTTTTTTAAAGGATTCGGATTTCACAAACCCGAATATGTAGCCAACTGGGAGTTACCAGTTTGCAGAAAACAGAGGAGATTCGGATTACGGTAATGCGAATCTACATTCATTCGGAATACCGTGATCCGGGTTTACCCAAATTTAATTTTTCAACACATATTTTTTTCTATCCGGAAATTAATATTTTATTTGTAAATACGGATTTGAAAAATCTGGATTTAAATTAATTACACTAATTTCTGTCATTAAATTAATATCGGATTTACACAACACAAATTCGGATTTCCCTCATCCGAGTTTAGAGGGGTTCGGATTTCAGAAATCCGAGTTTACTTCTGATTCGGATTTCCGAATCCGGGACATATAAGTTTGTCCACAAAATTTTTGGAAGGTTTATTTTTTTCCAGGTATATATAAGGAAATATATTTAAAGAAAAAATTTGGGACTTATTAAGGATGTTGCCAAAGTATTTCAGTCTTCTTTCCCAACCATCATTCAGGAATTCAGAGTTTTGTTTTCTCCTTGTATTTTGTTCAATTTTTCAGTACAATTAAAAAGTAGGTTAGGATGTTAGAACCATTGAAAAACACTTCTTGGAAAACCCAAGTATGTCCACTCTGAAAGAGTTTGTACCAAGAGGGAATTTTATTAGTACTTTGCTTTGTTAGTGTTGAAGTGAGAAAAAGTCAAGTTATGGTGCGTGTGATTAAATAACCTTGGTGTTTCATTTTTATTTATTTATTTTTTTGACATAATGTATTACCCGAAAACAACAAGTTATTTCTACACTTGATGAATATGATTAAGTTTAGTTGTGCACCTATATAATTAAAATTGTTGTTTGCATATAAAAATTTCATTTCATCTCTCTAAAACAAAAGCGGGCTGCCCATGTGGAAGCATGTGCCAATTAGTTATTATTTATGTAATTAATATAAACGATAATATTAGAGCTGCCCAGGCATTAGAATCGTTCGAGGGGAACTAGTTTATATTAAAACAGTAAAAATTTCAAAACTCAAATTGAACTATTTCTTTTCTTTAAAAAAAAAAGTACTTGTTTACTCAGTAAACTAATTGTCATATTTGTTTTACCGTAACAAAGAGAGTACTACCATGCTAATTCACAAGCATGACAGGCCATGGGACTTCCGTCCCGTGACTAATTAAGTTTTTTTTTTTTTTTAAGCGAAATGATAGTTTTATGCACGAACATTGAATAATGTACTATATGGCTAGTACGATTAAAATAAAATAATTAAATAGTAGAATATTTCCTCTGTCTCAGAAAAATAGTTCAGTTTGAAAATGTACAATTTTTTTAATTTGGTCAACACACAAAATGTATAACTCATTTTATATCCCTAACTTCCACTAATGCCCCTTCTAGTTATTTCTATGAAAGTTAACTACATATGCATTTATTTTACAACATAAATTTGATCAAAATTTTTATCTCAAAAAATATTGACAAAGATCTTGATGGAAAGATCTCGTTACGTAAATTAATTTGATATATAACACATTTTTTAATTATTCATGTATTAAAAGATATAATCATGAAAAAACTAAAAAAAAAAAGAAAATCAAAGGAAGTGTATCTTGTTTTTCTTACCACTATTCTTTTGGATATTTAAGTCATTTCAATTCAATTAATTTTGACTTTTGTGAAACTAAATTATTTTTTTAGAACAAATTTTTTTATTAAATTGACTATTTTTATGGGACGGGGGAGCAATAAATATGAAAGCTGGAATTCCCATATAGCAATCACCAGTCCTAAGTTGGGACCCCAAAACAAATAATATCCCACTTCAAGAGGTTAACGCTAAACATAGCGGACCCCATTTTCAGCTTATCCCGGTGGACGGATATATATGATGAATATTTTTTATACTCGATTTAATGAAGAACAAAAAGAGAAATTTCCAGTAGCCTGTAGGACCTTCCGGTGACGGAAGAGACAACGAGCCATCACGGCCGCGTTCCATAAATTTTTATCAGAAAGGAAACAATTCATTCATGCTCTAATAAAATTATTTTATTTTATGAAACTAAAAGAATAATTACTAATTTGTTATATCAATCACTTTAGAATACCTCGTAAATTATTATTTTTTTTTACAATAAAGGAAACGAATACCTTAATATTACATTATTACATTCCAAATATCAATATCATGATCTGACGAGGGTTTTAAACTCGTGGGTGGCTCGAGAATACTCTAATGCTCAACTTGAATAAAAAGCCACCATCTCAAATCACATGTGCAAAATAATGGGAATCCTCAACTGACCATTAAAACAGGAAGAAATAATTTAATATCACCCATGATGAGATAGATCGATGGTAAGTTCCACTTCAGTCCCAAATCAAGCCATTTGAAAAGACAAATTCCACTACAAAATGGCAGCTTCCCTTGATTCAGATTCCAGATAGTTAAAAAAGACCCAAATAAAATAAAATAACAAAAAAAACATCAAGTATGACATATCTGAAAACCTCCATAGATCACAAATCAAGTTGCCATCAAGACGTGCAAACAGGTTGACACACTCGATCATTCAACCTACTTTTATATCAGGGGATAACAGAGAAGGTGGATAGAGAACTTCCTTTAGCCCGCTGATATCCAAGACTGTCTTGCTAAGTGCTTCGGTAGCTGGCCTCCCCGGCGGAGGAAGCAAAAACCACCTGTTGACCCGTTCCAGTATTTCGGGACTAAAAACTCTGTATGGAAATGCTGACCGCATCCATGATGGGGTAGTTAAGTACCGGTCTCCCCTGCTCGCACTATCGACAATTGCCTTGGCACAGCTGCCAACTGGTGTTACGGGTATCACGCTCGTTTGAACCTGCCAAAATCATTCGGTATATAAGCGCATGACTAGATTATGTTTTTGCTACACATCATATGGTAGTGAATAGTGATCAAGCGTTATGATCAATTAAATTCATTCGAGCAAGTCACCTAAGGACAGGGAAGCTGAGTAACAACTTGGACATTAGTCCCGTAAAGACTAAAAACATAACAATGAAAGATAAGTGAGCAATTAGAAGTTGAGCTTACATCTCTCATTTCTTGGTCAACTCTTACTTCGCCGTCTGTCATTAAGAACTTCCCTTTTGTCATCTCCGACTCAATTACACCCGGATTCACAACAGTAATGCCCACATCAGATCCAATCTCAACTCGCAAGGTCTCGAAGAAGCTTACTACTGCTGCTTTGCTAGCCTGATTAAAGAACAATTCAATCACATGAATCGTTTTGGGTTCACAAGATCATATACATATTTATGCATTACTAGACCAAGATGAACAATTAACATGCACAAGTAAATTAAGACGTGAATTAATCAGTGATGATATAATATGTAAGCAGAAACAAAGTTGTTGATGTAAAATAAGAGTCCAAAAACTGTACACAGTAGAAGCTGAATCTTGGGACATGCAACCAACTAGCAGATGAAGCAATCTGAACGATCCTCCCTTTGCTCCTCTTCAAATATGGAACTGCAAAGTAAGTTGTATAGACTGAACCCCAAAAGTTAATGTCCTGCAAATGTCGACAGAGCAATTGAACGATCAGCATCAATTCAGCCTTAGTAAGGTAGAATAGGTAACATTACACAAGTACCAAAAATATTCTCGCATGAGTACAATTTTAGTCAAGTACCATTGAAGGTGTGAAATTTGACACAACATCCAGCTCTTCCAGAAGGCCCAATGGAGCGATGCCGGCAACATTCACCAGATGATCCACTGATTTCCATATTTGACCCGACATAACTCAAAGATTAAGCAATGATGACAAAATAAAGCGAAACATTAAACAAAATTATGTATCTAACTGCTTACATATCTATAGTACTTAATTAAAGCAGCAAACAAAAAGGACATGTGTCAATACCACAATGTAAATTTTCCCGCCAAAAGGCATTTTCAGTACAAAATCATTTTTGACACGTGGCACTCTAAGTAATCAGAGAAAAAAAAGATTAAATAGATAAATACATAAATCCCTTAATTATAGCTACATAAAAATATATTAATTATAGGTATATACTAATCTTTTAAAACAACAATATTTAGTTGATAAAATCAAATGTAAGGAAATCCTCTTAAATCAAGTGAAATACCAATAATATCTTCCCAATCCCCAATTTCAAAGAATCTCTTCCATTCCGCTCTTCTCTCACACCTGGGCCTTTAAATCAATTACTTCAAATCTGAAATCAATTATCAATCCATCTCTTTCTACAACAGAGAAAAAATAAGCTGTCTTGAAAGAAATTTGATTTTTTAAAGATGATTTTTTTTTATTCTTCTGTTGTAGATATTGGTTTATGATTTATGTAAACCCGAGCATAAGTTAACTGTTATAAATGAAATATTGTAAATTTGAGCAAAGATTAATGTGTAATAGCTCACTTTCCGTCCTTTCAATCGATTTTTTATTCTTCTAACTTTGTTTATTCTTTTAAGAATGATTCATATTTTTTATTTAATCAATTTAAAAATACAGACGACACTCCGGGCATTCGCCCGGAAAAAACATCTAGTTATATTTATACCAACACAATTAGTTCATTTTTTTTTAAACCGAAATGTAGTTCAATCTGTTATTTGCCTAAAATTTCCAACTTTTTAGACACAATTAATCTAATACAGTAGTTGAAGCACGACGAATTCAGAAAGCAAAATACTAACTACTCGGCTCCTAAAAATAATCTCTACGGTGCCACTTACATATATGGGAACGTGGTAACAGGAGGAGTATTCAACCAACTATATTTTTTCCCTCATCAAGTATACAACAAATCATTTGCCCATCAAGATACAAGTCCGTCCCAGATAAATAGTATTTGATAAATAATAAAGACATGTGTGTCTGGAGTAACCCGAAAAATGTACATCCCGAAAATAGATACGACACGAGTTATTATTAATTGGAAAAAAAAAACACTTACAAATACTATTACACTTACAGCGCCCAAAATGTTGAATGGCAGTTTCAACCAATCTTTGACAATCTTCGACTTTGGAAACATCTGCAGTGACTGGAATAACTGATGGAGAACCAAGCTCCCGGGCTATTTCCGCAACTTCTTCAAGACTCTTTTCTCTTCTTGCTCCAATGACTAAACACGACCCTCTTCTCGCATATTCGTAAGCCAAGTGCTATAACAAATTCATTCACGAAAAAGAAGTTCAAATTAACTAGCAAAAGTCAATAACTTTAAATAGGATAAATTTATCGTGGAGGACTCATTTGTCCCAAAATTATTGTTCAGTTTGAATGGTAATAAAAAATTAAACTAGAAAATAATTTTATGCCTTTACCTCTCCGATTCCTGAAGATGCTCCGGCGATGAGTACGATTTTTCCCGACAGATTTTCCTTGTACAACAACGGTGTTATGATGAAACGGATAAACTTGTAAGCTAAGTATGGTGGAAGAGCGGCAAAGAGTGCATATAAGCTAAGTCGAGGTAGGAAAGTGTTCAAGGAATTCTGTATGAAATTAACCGGATCAAAACCAGAACTCCAGAGGTTCTTAATTAATGTTAATGTATCAAGAACGGGGCTGAAAAAACCCATTTCTCAAATTCGAGTTTTGGAATACAAATTTAGAACTCAAATTGATGTGGGGTTCAAAGAAAACAAAAGGGAATTTGTATTTGCTAAAATGGTTGATTTTAATTTTTACTACGGAGGAGAAGGAAATGAAGGACTTGGATCGAGACGATAAGTATGCAAAGGCAAAATATGTATGAATTCATTGAAAATGATGAGTTGGCGGTGTTTTCTGTAAAAGCTTTGCATGAATTTTCTTGTTTTCTTGACACGTAGAAGAAACATAACGACTCTTGCATGTAAGGCTTTGTTTTGTTGACTTTTCATGGGCTTGTTATCCCTTGTCCAAGGATAATCGAGGATGTTGTACTATTCATCTTTGTTACATACCCATTTTGCTTATAAGAATGTCTAATTTACATTTTTATCCTTAAGAAAAATATAATATAATCAAAAATTCAAATTAAATAATTATTTTAAAAAAAGAAGAAGTAGATAAATTCTTGTTATAATTTTGGCATTATTAATTCGACAATTTTCTAGAGTTTGGGATTAGATTTTTTGTAGTAATAATTATGGGTATATATATATATATATATATATATATATATATATATATATATACTCTTATTTTGAAATAAGATAAGATTTCAACATTGGTGGGAAAGTTGAGTGGGGTGATTAAGGGATTAGTATGGAGTTGATAATTATGAAAAGGTTGAGAGTTTGATTCTTACTAAGTCATCCAACTTTAAAAAGGAAAAAAAAAATGAAGAAGAAGAAGCAAGAGTTCAACAACGTATAAAGGGAGAAAAGACCGTAAGTTTTAATATTAAAATTTCAACCTTCTAATTAAGTTGTCAATGTTACTGTACGCATTCAGGTTAAACTTCATTTAGAAGATCACCTAAAAAGGGCTAGTGCGCACTACATGATAAATAAGGTGAATCATACCTCTTTGTACGTGTTTAAAGGAAAAATACATTTTTGCTACTTTGTAAGTTGTTTCTTTTTCTTTTTTTTTTTCTTGGGGTATCATAATAGTAGCTATAGCGGAGAATTTGGCAAATTGTCCTACAGATTGTTTGACTGAACAGATTCAAAGATCACTATTAAAGTTGAGCTAAAAGAACATCTCTATTGAAATAGCAAAGTTGCACCAATGAGCACTCGGTCCAAGTGGTTAAAGTATCGGGTTAGCTTAATTATGACACGGGTTTGACCCCGAATATGGACATGTAACGGTGATTAAAATACTTGTTGAATGAAGTTTACCTTCTGAAAAGGACATGCCTAACTCGAATGTGAATTAATCAGAACAATAATTTTGGACATTGGGTGCGTAACATATAAAAAAAATAAAAAAAATAAAGTTGGCCACACAATAGGTTTGCCACTCTGCTAAAGAATAACAACTCCTTACAAGTTACAAGAAGACCTATACCCATAAAGTTGTACATTCAGAGATGCCCATTTTAGACTTGGGCAGCGAGGGACATAGACCCATCTGGAAGAAACTCCGAGCAAAATAGAAGAGAAGCAATAGCCTCAACAGTAGTGCGTGCGGCCCAAAAATGTGACATTGCTGCCAAAAACTGTGCAGTTGTCAAGCCATTCTGTGATGCCATCACCATGAACAAGCTGCTCACATCCAGTGCTCCCGAGTTTGTAAACACTGAAATAATTACCACTTTCAGTACGATCACGTGTAGACAGGCAAATTGCTCTTTTAGCCAGCAGCAAAGCTTCACTTTCAGACATATCGTAACGCAAGCTGCGTCTGACAGCGGCCAAAGCTCCTGATACACCGGACCCAGAGGCCAAAAACAACGGTTTCCCTGAAACCTCCGCAACAAGCTCCAGTTCCCCTCACGGTTCAAACGACACAAGACAGGACCCTTGTCTTCTTCCATCCCAATGATCAGCACCCTAACACACACGGCCAGCAAGCCACTTGGCGGCCTCCACAACCAGAATTCTTCTCCCTTCCTCGATTTCGAATCGGAGTCACTCTTTTTGCAAATACTCACTCCCTCCGGATATTGCGGCAACCATGTAAGAATTCACTTCAATCATGTTTGGAACAAACGACTTCGATGCGTGAGTAACTGCTAGCATAACCCCATGTTTGAAAATAAAAGCTAAACTTGTGGTCCCCTTCTCGCTCTTCCTTCTATAAGCAGTATTCTCAGTATGGTGGACTCCATAGTGCTTATAGTTACACCCAAATTCCTCGCGCAAAGGAATTGTCTCCATCGATCTCCTTCTTTTACAGGTTTCAGGGAAGGGTTCAGGTCCACAGGAGGTGGCTGCCATCATTCCATCCTCTTTCTTTTCGAAAGTATCGTACAAGGGTTCCTTCGAAGACGACCTTTTCTTCTCGAAGACATCGGAGAAGGGTCTATTTGAAGATCTCTTTGACGATCGCTTTGCCTTTTTGAAGATATCAGAGAATTGACTCTTGGAAGATCTCTTTTCCTTTTCGAAGATGTCAGAGAAGGGTCTCGTTGAAGATCTCTCACCCATCGATCTTTCAAAGACTTTTCGCCAATTTCCGGAGGAATCGTCTTTCGCGAAAAGACTCGAGCAAACAACCTGAAGTTGATGGTCAGAAGCAGAAGAAATCAGGATTAAGAAATGGGGAAGGAAGGAGAAGACGTCCGGGAAAGAGCCTTTGTAACTTGTAAGCCTAATTTTCGATTGGACGTTTCACTTCCAGTTTCGGAAACAGCCCATGTCCACACGGGTTGACCTATCAATATGGGAGTACTAAACAAGCACAATTCGAAAGTCGAAACCCATATGTTTTTGTGGTACTCATTCTTCATTTTTCGTTTTTTTTTTAAAAAAATACTTTTTACAATAAAAGAGACAAAAATTAAGGCTCCATTTGGACAAGAGTTTTGAAAAGTTGTTCAAAAAAGTCTGTTTGAAACAAAAGTTGAAAAAGTAATTTTTGGAAAATAATGCATTTGGACAAGAATTTTTCAAAACCTTTTTACGAATTAAAAATATGAAAAGCTATTTGGATTAAGTCTTTTTCAAAACCACTTGTTTGGTAAAAAAAAATAATTTACCTTTTCATATGCATAATAGTTAAAAAATATATATAGTGATTTTGATATATAAATTTGAATGAAATTTTTAATTCCAAAAATATTAACAATGGTTCTTAATAGAAATATCTCGTCGCGTAGATTAATTTGATATATAGCACGTTGTCTAAATATTTATATATTAAAAGATATAATCATTTAAAAAAATAGAATAAAACTGAAAATAAATAAAAATTAAAAAGAAAAGCGGGCCGACAACAAAGTGAGCAGTGAGGAAAAGATGGGAAGGGAGGGGAACCGCGCATCGCACACCTTTTCTTTTTTTTTTAGTCTTGTTAATGATATTCATGACCCGATTTTTTATAACCCGCTTTCGACCTAGATTATGACCCGCGAACGGAATTAAAAAGACTGTTTCAAAAAATTGAAAAATACCCCCAACCTATTTTCTAAAAAGTATATTTCAAACCTTCTTTTTTTCAAATTGATGTTTAGAAAAAACTATAATTATTTGTCCAGACGCATTTTAAACTCTAAACAGACTTTTTAGCCTTAAAAGTCTTTTTAAAACTCTTGTCCAAATGGAGCCTAATATTGTGTAGCTCCGTTCAAAATAAAAAATAAAAACAATTTACATTGTGTTTTTAAATTTGTAGTATAAATTTAAAAATTTGAACTATAACAAGTTTGAAAAATTAATGTGATCTGTTCTTTTTGGGACAGAAAGGAGATGGTATAACACAAAATTTCAGATTATGAAGATTGCTTGTCACCGGCTATATTACACATAATGAATTATTTAATCGTCGAGGGAGGAACCATACGTCTTTGTAATTCTATTGCTTGTAATTTCATTATAGTCATTTTTTTTTCATCTTAAAGTGACTAGATTCATTAACTAATTAATTAATTACTCACCTAATTCCGCCGTATCTTGTAATCAATTTTTAGGCAAAACTTTAGTTGTAAGTAGCCGTAAATTGACGTCTGTTTAGGACAGCTCTAGTTGTTACGTAGGGTAGCCCATTCAACAGCTCTAATTGCCGTATCCATATATAGTTCATTCATAAGACGCCCTAAAGTAAAAATTAATCAAAGAAAAGGAATTCTCATACAATTATGCATCGCGTAGGCCCAATCATCATCCAATCTGATCCTCCAAAAAAACCTTTCCTTCAACAGAAAAGAAAAGAAAAATGGCTAAAACAGTGGCAAAATTGTCATCATCATCATCATGGCCATTGAAGGATGATCTGGATATAGTGATTTCGACGATAGGGAACTTGGATTTCTTGGAAGTTTGGAGGCTTTTTTGAGTCATACGATTTTCATCATAGTTCAAGATAGTGATGATCTCCAAAACTATTCAACTTCCCGATGGATTTGACTATGAACTCTACAATCGTAACGATATTAACAGGATTTTGGGTCCTAAGGCGAATTGCATCTCGATTAAGGATGGTGGTTGACGTTGCTTTGGTTTTTTGATGTCCAAGAAGCACACATTTACTGTTTACACCATCGATTATGATTGCTTAGTAACTTTAATTTTACTACTCCGTCCCATAATTATTGTCCAATTTGGGTTTTCATTTTTAGTACAAATTGAACTAAAAATAAAACTCAAAGTGGACAATAATTTTAGGACAGAGGGAGTATTACTTTTCGTACGTGCACCATCTTAAATCTTAATTTTTTTCATGTTCATATATTATAGATCTATAATAACTTGAGTCGGAATTACTTATACTCCCTCCGTCCCATAATTATTGTCCAATTTTACTAAAATGAAAGATTTTATTTTTGGTCAAACTTAATTATATTTTACCTTAAACAACCGGATATACCCCTACATAAGTAATTGTTTAACCACTAAGATTTTATGGATAATGTTTTTTACTAAGGACAAATGTGTAACTTGATCCATAAAAAGTCAAATTGAGCAATAATTTTGGGACAAAATTTTTTGGACAAAGTAGACAATAATTAGAACGGAGGGAGTAACATTTATCACGAAAAAAGTCTTTTCATACTGTACCATTTTACGTAATACAACTTATATATAGATAAGAATTTTTTTTAAAAAAAAAACCAACAAAATGACAATTAGTGCAGGTGGCGAAGGATCCAAAATGGAGAAGACATAAATGTGACTGAAGAACATCAACCCCCTTATTCTTCAACACTCTGAATGATCCATACAGAAAAGGTGTTCCAACTTCCAACCGCCGTCTCTCAAGGCCTTTGGCTCAACATTACGGACTGTGACACACCTATTCATCTTGTCAAGCCTGGTTAGGTTAATTTGCTTCCATCAACCTTATCATATTTCAGATTTTCGCCAAATAAATAAGACAACGAACGGGAATTTATTTAAGTAGAATAAGCGTCTAATAAGAAAAATTATGAACCTCGCATTCGATTGTGAACTCATTGGCACTGCTGAGTACTTTGGGCTCATAGACGAAGGAATCCAATAATGGCAGATACGATGATATGTGGGCTGGTTGGGCCGTCAACGTATGTCCAGTCGAGCAAATTATTTGATGCCCGTCGCGTCAATTATTAAATCATTTTACTTAACGAATTCACTATCTTTATTATTATTATTATTATTCATGGCCTTAAATGGATAGAAATACCTATACACATTTCATTAGTAATAAAACAAAGCAATTCAATTAAAAGGTAGTTTCACAATAACAATTGAAGTTTCTGAAATTGCAATTGATATGTGACCATTTGGGTGTTTGAGTAAAGACAGGGTTGCCATATGGCACGGTAAAGGAAGCAACCCTTCCGAGTATCTAAAGAAAGAATACTTCGGAATATAATGGCAAGACGAAATCATCTCATTTTTTTTCGATCCCTACAGCTACCGGAAGAATGCACTAATGCTACGTTGCGTTAGCGAAGATTGTTAAGGAAACATTAGGTCACATTGATCCTTGTATCATTAAGCTCGCGGATATGGTATGCTTGAACGGATTCAAGCTTGGGAAGAGTTGAACCCGCAGCCCCGCACCACCGGTGAAGACGGGGCGGTTCCCTCGGCTCCACCCGGCGAGGGGCCAACAATTTCAATGAGGTTGAACACCTAACGAAATCCAAACATTAGTAACATCAAACATTTTTGAGTTTTTCAAATGCCGCGCATCGACATTCTGATGATCATTTGGATGGTTTTAACGTTATGCATTTCTATGTATTTCGAGGTTATGTTTATTGGAATATCATTTAGCAATATTAATAAATGAAGAATAAAGGGAGGTGTAGTAGAGCAATAGAGCCATGGATGAGGTTCTGTTCTCTGGTTAAACTTAGACATAGAGTTTAAGGAAGGCCTTCAGTTCTGTTGGAGACCAAAAAATAAAAATAATTATAAACAAAAGATGCTCCCTCTATTCAAAACAACTCCCCCCACATTTCAAAAATTTAACAAGGACTATTTTGTGGGAACATGAATATAATGAAAATGGAAAAGGAAACGAAAAAAGTAATGGATGATTATTAATCATGGCAAAGCACACCTTGTTATTATTAATCAGTCAAAAAGCAAAGTTTTTATTAGCTTGAGACGATTGTTTTTTCCCCCCCTCAAAGAATGTTCCAAGGACCGCTTTTGGCGGGAACAATGGCGATATAATTGTTGTTCAAAAAATATGACTCCCTCTGTCCCAAAATTATTGTCTAGTTTGAGATTTCATTTTTAGTACAATTTGAACTAGAAATGAAAACTCAAACTGGACAATAATTATGGGACGGGGGAAGGATTCTTTTTTTTGAGATGCGAGGAGTATATAAGGACATAATGTTGAAAGTTTAGAGTTGTATTCCCTCAATTGAAAAAAAGAAGAAGTCCGAATTAGATAAACAAAGTGGACTATTTATTGATATTATTAGTATTTTGGACGGAGGGCTATTTGTTTTCAATTACACCTTAATTTGATAGAAATTTGTTTAATGTCATGTCCAGAGAGTTCTTTCTTCCAATTATTAGTAGGTTTAAATTCATAATTGTATTCCAATAGATCATAAATTAAATCGGTAAGATATCATTTGTTCATTGAAAAATAATCAAATACTCCCTCTATCCCAAAATTATTATCCAGTTTAGATTTTTATTTTTAATTTAAATTGTACTAAAAGTGAAAACTCAAACTATATAATAATTTTGAGACAAAGAGAGTACTCTATACCGGCACTACAAAACAATACATTGATACAATTAGAACTAACTTAAAAAGCGTAAATATTCAGCTGGAACTAGTTTCTTATAACCAAATCTAAATGAAAATAAATTTTTACTATGACGAAATTCATCAAATATGTAAATGACCTTGAAAGGTATGAAGTTTTTAATTGTACAGTAAAGATAAATTTTGTTTTGATGAAAATTAATATGGTAAATCAACCCAAAGGACAACAAAATCATGATAAGACCTAGTCAAGTAGATAAACAAAAAACAAATAAATTGAAATATCCATCAGTTTATAAAGTTTAAATTTCAAAGGCATAAAATGTTTAACGGATTGGAGACTTTGATGGAGAAGATAAAGTACATTTATGAGATTCAAAACTTTCTGAATGAGAAGAAGCCTCAGTATGTATCCTTGGAACACACTTTCTTCAGAAATTAAACACATTTATTCATCACGGAAATATTATAGCTCATCAAACTATAACACATCAAAGAAACTACTAAAGATTGGAACACATCAAAGAAAGTACTCCGTGACAGTCTTGTTTGTGTAATACTTTTAGGATGGGGGAGTAAGATATTAGCTAGGACAAAAACTGTACAACAACTAATCAACTGAAAAGTCATCAACAATCAATTTCATCACAAAATTGAAACCCTCTCGAGTAAGATTGTAAAAAACTTGATAATTTAATCTCCAAGAAAAAAAATGTGTACCACATCAAGAGATCATCAAGTGATCATGTTGGAATCAAAAACTCATCTTCTCCAAAGTTGCCACCATTAATATAAATTCTTAGTGAGATTAATCCAACTGTAAACACCATTGTCACAGCAGCAATAAGCCATGCCCTAACATTAGGCATCCATCTTCCCCATCCAATTTTTTTCACTCCCAAAAAATTTGCACCAAAATCTACAACACTACTACCTTTCTCCTCTTTCACAATATCATCATTTTCCTCCACCTTTTTTTCTCCTTCAATCAAACTCAAATTTTCTTCACTTTCCTCCTCATCATCATGACCAATATCGCCCACAGAAGAATTTAAGCAAGAAGAACCCTTTGGAGGAGAAGATTCATTTCCACCATGTTCTTCATGATCATTATCAGAAACATAAGATCTCAATGACTCAACCTCACAACTAATCTCTTGATTATACAGCAGATAATCAAAACATTCACCACAAATCATTTCTTCCTCTTTCTCTTTGCTTGATGGTGATGATAATGACCCTTGATCATCAAAAAGCCTCCTTCCTTTAAGCTTTCCACTTTCTAAAACAGCCCTTCTTTCCTTCATGATTTCTTGATATGCAATATCATTGTTCCTCACTTTCCAAATCGACCCTTCATCAGATAAAGGTGACTTCCTTCTGGTACTACTCTCTTGTAAACTAGACATTAAACTCCTTGGAGAATTCTCAAGGATTTGGTCTTGCAATGAAGAAATGATAGAAGAACTACTTCTTCTTATCCTTCTTCTTCCTTCTCCTGTTGATGATGAACGCGTAAGCAAGTGATGAGATTTTGGTCTTTTGCCAACTCTTTTATAAGTGTCCCATTCTTGTTCAATGTTTTCAAATTTTTGGTGGAGCTGTTTGTTGTTGTTGATGGGTGATTTTCTATTATGTTGGGAGTCTTTTGATGAATTTTTCTTCATGATTTTGTACTCCCTTTTTTTGTTTCTTTTTTTTTTTTTCACTATTTGCTTGATGCTTTGATGTGCCCTTTTGTTTAACGTGGTGGGGGCGTGGAAACTGGAAAGTTATCGTGGGTGAGAGAGAATAGAGCGGGATCTCATCCTGCTATCGCCAAAAGAGTTTGATTATTTGAATTTCAATTCTTCGGAAGTTACGAGTTGGGTTGAAACTTTAAATTCAATATACTTGCTACTTTGTTATTATTATATATATATATATATATATATATATATATATATATACTAAGTTCTTGACCCGTGCGTTACACGGGTTTTTGTCTCAAGCTTTAATATTAACAAATCATATTCATTGTCACAAAAGTTTGAATAGAGGAGAAAAATAGTTTATCAAATATGTTAGGTGGGTTAGGTGGCTTACATAAAAATATAAACTAATTGAAAATTTTGTACCAAATATGTTAATAATAATGATATACTACCTATGTCCCTAAAAAAATAGTGCATATTAAGTTTAGAAATTTGAATTATTTTCAGTATAAATCTTAATCCTCAATGTGAAATTTTTTTTTTTAGGACAGAAGGAGATTTTTTATAAAACTATTTGTTGAAATAAAAAATGTATTAAGTTGGATTAAAATGTAAAAAGGCATATGTTACTTATATTTTTGAAATCCTCACTAATTATTATTGATAATAATAACATCTAGTTTTTCTAAACCAAGAACTATTCATATGGCCATTTATTTAACAGATATTTTCAAAGGATTAAAATATTGTTATACATAAAATTAACTTGAAAGTATTTGTTCATTATCTATAGTACTTAATTAAAGCAGCAAACAAAAAGGACATGTGTTAGCACCACAATAAAAATTTTCCCGCCAAAAGTCATTTTCAGTACAAAATCATTTTTGACACGTGGTACTCTAACTAATCAGAAAAAAAGGATAAAATAAATAAATACATAAATTCCTTAATTATAGCTACATAAAAATATCTTAATTATAAGTATATACTAATCCTTTAAAACAACAATATTTAGTTGATAAAATCAAATACTTAGATATCCCCTTAAATCAAGTGAAACACCAGTAATGTCTTCCCAATTCCTAATTTGAAAGAATCACTTCCATTCCGCTCCTCTCTCACACCCGAGCCTTTAAATCAATTACTTAAAATCTGACATAAATTATCAATCCATCTATTTCTACAACAGAGAAAAAATAAGTTGTAATGGAAAGAAATTTAATTTTTTAAGGATGATTTTTTTTATTCTTCTGCTATAGATATTGGTTTATGATTTATGTAAACCCAGGCATAAGTAAACTGTTATAAATTAAATATTCTAAATCTGGGCATAGATTTATGTGTAATAGCTCACTTTCTATCCTTTCAATCGATTTTTTATTCTTCTAATTTTTCGTTTTATTCTTATAAAAATGATTCGTATTTTTTATTTAATCAATTTAAAAATACAGGCGACACCCCGAGCATTCGCCGGGGCAAGCATCTAGCTATATATGTGGTAGTAGTTTAATTTTTTTCTAAAAGGAAATTTGGGCAATTTTATGACAAAATCAATTTAGAGAAAGTCGAAAGTTTATTTAACTAACACATGATTCAACAACGCAAAGGGCCCACATTGTAACCCAAAAAAATTAAAGAGATGAAGAGTGTTTTTGAATCGGCCATTTTGCCCAAAAAAATGTTGGCCACCGTTTAAAATTTTTAAATCTCACCGTTTTCCTCGATCTATCTGAAGATTTTATTCCTAGTATTCGATTTCGGATTATTCTTTCCAAACTCACTTCATCTGAGATTTCTTCCAAGTCATATAAATTTTTCTTCTACAACACCTGAATTGGAAGGTTAGTTTGATTTGTTTTGGGATTTATTTTTTTTCTTCATTTGCCCATTTAATTCATTGTAACACATTTCTTTCGATTAAAATCTTACTGCCAATCCCCATCTCCCATCATCATCAATAAATGAAAATGTTGGTTTTAGATACTTACTCACCTTTTTTTTTTGGCTTCAAATTCCTCCAAGAACTGACCACAATTCAAGCTGAGAAGACTTATAACACACACAAGACCACCTTTTTAAAACATGCCATGTGATTAAACTTCACTCTTTATAACTGCAATCACATGAAGCTACCTTCAAAGTGTCTTAATTAGAGCCTTTCAGAGATGTTAAAGAACATCTCAAATTCTCGACCAAAAACGACTAAGCATTTATAAAGCATGTTTGGTGATCATGGAACACGGAGCTGGAAAGTAGTCTTCGAAGCCCAAATTGTACAAGAAAACAAAGAATCAGCAGCATAAAATATTTAGCCATCGCCCCTGTTTGCTTCTCCGCAAGAAAAGATGAAGATAAAAAAAAATTCCAATCATAAAACTATACTTTCACTCAGAGTCAGAGTGTATTTTAATGGAGTACAAATCAGAAATTCCAATATTTATTTCTTTATTCAGTTGTCATTTACATTATCTATGACCAAAACAAAAATCATTTTGAATTTTGCCTACCTCTTGTTGTTGTTGCTTACGAACAGATCCCATAATGAAATTTTTTTTTCTCATCGAATTTGAAGCCACTCAAACTACCGCAACCTTCTTCTCCAGCAGCAGCCGGCATCTGCATCTCATGATTTGGTTATTGAAATTGTCAGAGTTGTCTTCACCCGGTAATCTTAGTTTTCTGCAAAAAAAAAAAAACATTGGATTGTAACTTTGTTACAGTAACAAATGATTTGATTTTGTTTTGTCAAGAAAGGCTTACTGCTGGTTCTGCATTCTCCATCCAATCTGATAATTGACAAGTGATAATAGATGTGTTAAGAAAATTTGAGGGCCGATGAAGGACGAAAGAGACGGAGACACAAGGATAAGCACCTGATTTATTGATGCCGATTAATAGATGTTTTTGGACGGCAAAAAATCCCAGTTGCCGCTGTCAAATACGCCACTGATGTTGCTCTGAAAAAAAAAAATAAAAAAAAATCCAGTCGCTGATATTGTTGTTTTCTGCCAAAAAAAATAAAATCCTTTTGATGGTTTTCGGTTTGTGGGACTTTAATTTTAGGGACTAATAATATGAATTTAAAACAGGGTCGTGGGTAAATGGCTGTGATCGTGGTTAGATTTGTTAATTATTTGGGTGAAACCTGTGAAAGAGGAATTGGTAATTGTTAATTGTTAATGTAATTTAATTAGTTATTACTACTTACCATGAATTACTGATACTTTTGGCGGGGATTGGATTGAGGAGAGGTTGCCATGTCAATTTTTTGGATTGCCCTGATTTTTCCTATAATAGGATATATATAGATAGATATAGATATATAGGAAAAAATCTAGAGTCTCGTTGGCCATTTTTTACGGAACCGTCCCGTTTTGTCTTCAATCAATCAAAATTGAGGGCATAAGATGAACATTCTATATTATTATAAATTAATTGAAAAATGACACTTTTGCCCAAAATATCAAGTTTTTGGCCAATTTGACCCAAAATATTTTTGAGAAACCAAATTCATCATCTAAATTTTAATTTTTTGCCAATTTAATCCAAATTGATGAGAATTCTGTTAGATTTAATATTTCCACTGACATTCCGTTACTTTGTACAATTTTTTCTTGGTAAAAAACTTTGTTGACATAAAATTTTAACATTTTATCCCTACTGTTTTGTTATTCAGTAACAGACGCTTATCTTACATTTAATTATTATAACGTTCCTACCACATAATTTATCTCCTAACCTAATTCATTGCTCCTACCCTAAGCCTCTTCCTTTTCTTCCTCTTTTACTTGTTTCTGCTGCCGCACCACCACTGCCCCGTTCTTCTTCTCTCCTAAAAATTACCATCACCACTTCCTAAATCTGTGAGGATTTCAAACTGTCACCACAAACATAAAAATTTGCCTCCACCAACAGTACACAATCCTCCCTCCATCAATACCTGTATTTCCGTCGCCGCCACTTTTCTTCAGTTCTACAAAAATTACAAAATATTTTACTTATTTTTCCATTTTTTTCCCTTCTTCTTTTTAAAAAATATTGCTTGTACAGTTTAGCCATCGGCAAAGTAACAATAACAATTACTAAAAAAGAATAAAAATTGTGTTAATCAAATTTAAAACAATTCATAGTCATGGACTAAATAAATTAGCACTTTTTCCTATTTCAAATGATTATTTACTTTTTATATTATTTTTACTATCACAAACAAAATAATCATTTAGGCTAGATCGATCTAGCCTAAATGATTATTTTGTAACTTATGAATTACAAGAAGTCAAGGAGGAAAGACTTGTTTTAACAGTTTTTTTTTAAGATTTTTTTTTTGTTTAGAATGATAACCTATTAACTTTCTTATTTATTTCAACTCGACTTTTTCTTCCTCATTTTCTTTATTTATTAAAATTTTTTTATAATCTATAAAATAAAAGGTAAATTAATTAATGAAATTTAGTAATTATACTAGTAGCAACAGATACAAGTCAGGAAGTATAAGAAAAACAATAGTAAATAACAAAAAATAAAAAAAAATTAATTAAAAATTTTAAAAATATGACAAAATTACTTCTGAACCAAACTCACTGTTTGCACATGAAAAATAGAGTTTGAAAAATAAATAATTATTATTTTAAAGATCTTATGATATATTTTGATGGTTATAAAAAGTAGTAAAGAGAAATAAAATGAAATAAAAATAAAGAAATAAATATGAAAAGAGATTATTTTATTGATTTTATATAATTTGGGGTTATTTTTATAATTTTTTGATACTATTGAGATATATTTTTGTTAAAAATTAACTGAAATCCTTTAAGTGTTAACGGAAACTGGGCCAATTGGATAAAATTGGCAAAAATTTCAAACGTAAAGGACAAAATTGGCTAACCAAAAATTAATGGGGTAAAATTAACAACGCGGTTAAAACTTTGGGTACAACCGTCATTTTATCTGTAACGGAATGTCAGCGGAGGTATTAAATTGGAAAAAATTTCGTTCCTACCCAAAACTTTACCCTCGTCGTCAATCATACCCAATAGATTTTCGGTTAGCCAACTTTACACTAATGTTTGAAATTTTCGCCAATTTTGTCCAATCGGTCCATTTTCCGTCCAAATTAACGGATCTCCGTTAGTTTTTTAATAAAATAATAAATTTAATTAAAAAAATCCAATAATTTTTAAAAAGTTTAAAAATAACCCCTAAAATATATTAAAATAACAAAACAGTCCCTTTTCACTTTTTT